TTTTTAGGGTTTTTTTTTTTTTTTTTTTGGTCCCGTCATGGGGCATGAACTCTGGGTCTGGGCACTGTCCTTCAGCTCTTCAGTTTAAGGCTAGTGCTCTGCCACTTGAGCCACAGCGCCACTTCTGGCTTTTTTCTTTTTGCCTATGTGGTGCTGAGGAATCGAACCCAGGGCCCCAGGCATGTGAAGCAAGTGCTCTACCACTGAGCCACCTTCCCAGCCCCTGAGGATCACAGTTTGAAGCTAACCCAGGCATGAGACTTTCATGTCCAATTAACCACTCAAAAGCTGGAAATGGCACTGTGGGTCTAGCCTTGAGCACAAAGACTCAGGGACAGCACCCAGGCCCTGAGTTCAAGCCTGCCAGTGGAAAAAATAAAAATTAAGCCAAACTATCAAAGTCGGAAATCATCTATATACAGTACTCCCATCCATGGAGTCTAGTGCTGATAAGACAACAGCAACAGCCGGGCGCTGGTGGCTCACGCCTGTCATCCTAGCTACTCAGGAGGCTGAGATCTGAGGATCGCGGTTCAAAGCCAGCCCGGGCAGGAGAGACCATGAGACTCTTATCTCCAATAAACCACCAGAAAACCGGAAGTGGCGCTGTAGCTCAAGTGGTAGAGCGCTTGCCTTGAGCTGAAGAGCTGAGGGACAGCGCCCAGGCCCAGAGTTCAAGCCCCACGACCGACAAAAAAAAAAAAAAAAAGACAACAGCAACGCAGGAAGACAGAGGGTAAGAAGGCTGAGGGTATGGCCCAGAGTTAGCGCTCTATGTGACTCTCCTTCCATACGCCCCCTGTGTAAAGGCAAACAAAAGTTCCAAAATAACTAAATAATAAACAATAGTTATTTTCCAATATCAACAATGCTTTTATTTCTTTAAATCCGTTGCTTGTTGAATACAATGCCAATTAACACAACAGCCTATATGAATCTCACCGGACCACCAAGAAAACAGCCAGTCTCCAGAGGTCATGTACACATCCATTTACACAACAACCCTGAGATGACAAAATTACAGAACTGGAAAACACATTAGTGGCTGCCAAAATGGGGGCAGCACATGTGGCTCCAAGGGCTGGCAGGAAGAAGCTTTTGAGACGATGTGACAGCTGTGTATCTCTCTATGGTGCAATCACACACATGCACACACATGTGAGTAGATGTAGATCTAGGGCCTGGGGACGTGGCTTTAGAGCACTTTCCTAGCATGATCCAAGTACCATAAAAAAGGTAAAGAGGTAAAATATATTTTTTTAATGATTTCACCCCTCTACCCTGCCCTTTTAGACACAACTCTCTACAGGCCCCTTCTTGGGGCCCAGGAGAGAAACTTGGCTACCTGACAGTTTCTAGATGTGTGGTGCTTGCCCTGTGAACTTTACAGCACATGATTCTACTTGTGGTTTCTAACCCTCCTCATCCTCCCCCCAAAAAACCCTAAACTGTACAAGGGTTTACAAACATATTAACGTTCTCTGCTGGAGATAACACTTGAGGGGAGCTGTCCCCACAGACAGCACGTGCCTGGGGTTTGTTTGGGGCCCACCACTAGCTTCTTTGGCACCTCAAGGTTCAACCGCTAGTCTGACTTCGGCTGTGCCCACAGTAGTGGCCCTGGTGCCCGGCATTGCTCCGGCTCGAACTCATGCTGGAAGGGACCCCTCCTCTTGTGGGCAGACCAGTCCCTCTGTGGCCCCAGGAGCCACCAGGCCACCTGGCAAAGCCTCCAGATGCTGAACTCCTGATGCTGCTTCTCAGTTACTGTGCAAGGAGGATAATGCCACTCACATCAGGTGCAGCAATTCCCCTCTACCACATCCCCACGTCAGGACAGGGAATTGCTCCTCTGTGGGGTCTGTGGGACTGCAAGCCCATCGAAGTGCTTGCTGCCCCATTTGCCGGAGGTCTCTTTGGCTTTGGGTGGCAGCCTCAGGGTACCAGCTGCAGGCCATCTGAGATGCACCACTTGGAAACCCAGAAACCCCAGTGCCACTCCCACAGCAGCTCACCGAGGAACCTGCATGACCCCCCTGCCTCAATTTTTGTCAAAGGCATATGCTAATTATCTTAGCACCATTGCCATCAGCCTCCACCTCCACTCAAGCCTGGAAAGAGTAGCTCTCCACCAGGGGGTGTCTTGCTCATCTATCAGCATGTGCTCTGTCTTCCCTCAGGAGGCCTGATTTGAAGCTGGCCATGGCCAGACCTGCACTCTTGACCACCCAGCAGTGACACTCTCTCAGGAAGCACCTAGCCAGCCCAGACCAGGCCAGGCCAGAGCAGGTTGGGCCCTGGGCAGAGGAGGCTGGTAGGCTCAGGCCACCCGGCACCTGCTGGACCTGCCATGCGCCACCCTAAATAATGAAATCTAAACAGCCAGTGATCTGCACCGGTGACAGTTTACCCCGCTGAAAGTAAGAGGTCTACAGCAGGAGGGGTTGTGTGAAGGATACCAGGAAATTCCCTATGTATTTTGTTGTTGTTGGTTGTGGGCCTAGGCGCTGTACCTCAGCTCTTCAGCTCAAGGCAAGCGCTACACCACTTGAGCCACAGCACCACTTCCCGTTTTTTGAGTGGTTTATTGGAGATAAGAGTTTCTCGGACTTTCCTGCCCAGGCTGGCTTTGAACCGCAATCCTCAGATTTCAGCCTCCTGACTCGCTAGGATGACAGGCATGAGCCACCGACACCCGGCTTCCCTATGTATTTCTTCACAACTTCCTGTAACTATTTCAAAATAAAACACCTAAAATCAGTCAAAATAATATATAGTTGCTGGATACTAGTGGCTCACACATATAACTCTAGCTACCCAGAAGACTGAGAGCTGAAAGATCCAGGCTTGAAGACAACCTGGGCAGAAAAGTCCAGAAAGCTTCATCTTCTACTAACCAGTAAAAAGCCAGGCTGGAGGCATAGCTCAAGTGGTACAGCACCAGTCTTGAGCAAGAGGACCAAAACAAAGTACTGAATGTTTCCAACTTCAAGCCCTAACAGTGGAAGGAAAAAAAAAGGATATTATAAAAGGGTATGGGGGAGGAGGGAGAATGGTGTCTGGGGTGACTGATCAAAATGCATTTATTCATAATTGGGACACATTAAAACAAAACCCCTGAACAGCTGACGTTAACAAAAATAAAAGCAGCTTAGGAGAAAAAAATAGTACTTAATAAAAAGGGCTAGAATTTTTTTAATGACAGCTCAAAGAACTAGTTTATTAACTCCCATACACTTAACTACCCAGCTCACTGGTCTCAGTTGATTGGGAAGCTGACGGGGAAGAAGTTCATTTTATGAGCTTATCTGCTGCCTAAGCCACAACACAGCGGTGCCTCTTCAACCCTGGAGCAGGTTCATGGCTGCTGATGCCAAGAGCAGACTACTAACCCGACTACAAGCCGATGCCAGGCAGCAGGGCTCACGTGTTCATCTGCCCTTTACCTGATGCCCACCATGCTTAAAACAGGTCTTCATGAAAGAAGGGAGCTACAAGGCAGAGGTGAAATAGACCTGGGACGGCACTTCAGCTGAATCCCACCCATCAACACTTAGGCTCAGTTACCGGTGGCTTCTGGTCACAGGACTGGTAGAAGAGCCAGGCTGACCCAGCACTTTGGGGTCAGGATCAAGGACCCTCAGCTCTGGGGACCTGAGGATTCCTACCATCCACTGTTACAATGGGAATCCAGAAAGCACAAGGACCCTTTTACCTCCACCCGGAGTCAAGCCCAGGCTCTGTCTGGCTCGTCACTCAGGGCTTCTGAGGGTCACTCAGGGCTGATCTCTCACACAGAGTGCGTGCCTGAGGATGCTAAGAGCGAGATTCACAAGCGCCCACTTACAGGGCTTACCGTGCAGGGCCCCCCCAGCCCTAGCGGAGAAGGCTCCACCCAAGGAGGCACCACAGGGACGGGAGATGGGAACAGCAAGGCGGGGTCGCCTGCTGCCGACCGCGCACTGGCCCCGCGCGGGTGCTCAGCCAGCCAGAGCCAACTCTGCCTCCTCGCAGTGTCCAGCGCTGCGAAGCATCCTCGAGCCGGACGGGCCATCCCGACGGCCCGGCTGGGCGCAGGCCTGTCCCCCCCCCCCCCCCCGGCCATCCCGACGGCCCGGCCGGGCGCAGGCCTGTCCCCCCCCCCCCCCGGCCATCCCGACGGCCCGGCTGGGCGCAGGCCTGTCCCCCCCCCCCCCCGGCCATCCCGACGGCCAAGCCTGTCCCCCCGGCCATCCCGACGGCCCGGCCGGGCGCAGGCCTGTCCCCCCCACCCCCCGGCCATCCCGACGACCCGGCCGGGCGCAGGCCTGTCCCCCCCCCCCGGCCATCCCGACGGCCAAGCCTGTCCCCCCGGCCATCCCGACGACCCGGCCGGGCGCAGGCCTGTCCCCCCCCACCCCCCGGCCATCCCGACGGCCCGGCCGGGCGCAGGCCTGTCCCCCCCACCCCCCGGCCATCCCGACGGCCCGGCCGGGCGCAGGCCTGTCCCCCCCCCCGGCCATCCCGACGGCCCGGCCGGGCGCAGGCCTGTCCCCCCGGCCATCCCGACGGCCCAGCCGGTCGCAGGCCTGTCCCCCCGGCCATCCCGACGGCCCGGCCGGGCGCAGGCCTGTCCGGGGCGCCGGGGGCTCGCGGGCCGGGTACCCAGCCGGGCTCCGCCATCCGCCGGGCCGCCTCTTCCCCACAGAGCCGGCCGAGCTGGCGGTCGGTGCAGAGCTGCGCCGTCGCGAGGGGCTCCCGGCCAGGCCCGGCCTCGCAGGTCCCTCACGCGACTCCCTCCCCCGGAGGCCGGCGCGGGCCCGGAACTCCTCCACACACCCTCGGCCCGGCGTCCGGGCGGCCGGCCGAGAACCCGGGCGCGGAGGGTCGGTGACGTCAGCGGGGGCGGGGGCCGGAAGCCCCTCGGCGGGGCGGCGGGCCGGACCCCGCGCCCCGCGGCGGCCCCGCGCCCGGGCGCCCACCCCCGCCCCGCCGGGCCCCGCCGCGCGCCGGACACTCACAGTTGCGGATGTCGGAGATGAAGACCGCCAGGCCCCGCATCCCGTCCCCCTTGGACACGGCCGGCATTCTCGCGAGCCCGGGGCGGCCTCGGCGGCAGGCGCGGGGAAGGCGGGCGCCGGCGGGCGGCGTCGAGCGCGGGGCGGGCGGCCGCGGGCCGACTCGGAGCAGCCCCGGAGCGCGGAGCCGCCTCACCACAGCCGCCGCGGGGCCCGAGCGCCGCTCTCCGGCCGCGCGCGCGCACGCACGACGCACGCTAGCCCTCGCGCGGGGGGGGGGGCCGGCGTGCGGCGTGCGCGCGCACGCGCCGAGAACCTCGCTCCCGGAGGCCGCCCCGCGGGTCCGCGTCCCCGGGGGAAGGCGGGGACGGGGCGGGGCGCGGCTCCCCGTTATCGCCGCGCCCGGCCGCGGGGAGGGCGGGCCGCGCCCCCGGGCCGCCCGGCCCTCGCCGGGCCCCGCGCCCCAGCTCGGCGGCCCGCCGTGTCCGAGCCCGGCCCGCGACGCTGCGAGGTCCCTGGGGGAACGGCTCCCGGTGCGCAGGCCTCCCACTAAAACCAGTTTTTAGTCCGGAGTTCCTCTGTGGGTGATCTCCGAAGGTTTTTGGCTGTGCTCTGTAAGATGATTAAAGAAAAGCATTCCCCGGGCACTAGTGGCGCACGCCTGTCCTCCCAGCCTCCCAGGAGGCTGAGATCTGAGGATCACAGTCCAAAGCCAGATGAGACTCTCACCTCCAATGAACCACCAGAAAATCCGAAGTGGCGCTGGGTCTCAAAATGGTAGAGCACTGCTAGCTTTGAGCAAAAGAGCCCCGAGACAGCTCCCAGGCCCTGAGTTCAAGCCCCACAGCTGACAACAAAAATAACAGGCACTGCCCAAGTCTGTAATCCTAGCAAGGGGGAGGCTGAGATCTGAGGATTGCAGTTCAAAGTCAGCTCAAGGAAAGTCCGTGAGCGTTAGCTGCAGTTAACCACCAGAAGTGGAGCAGTGGCTCAAATAATAGAACAAGCCTTGCACACAAAAAGCTCAGGAACAGGGGCTGGGAATGTGGCTAAGTGGGAGAGTGCTTGCTTACCTAGCATGCATGAAGCCCTGGGTTTGATTCCTCAGTGCCACATACACAGAAAAAGCCAGAGGTAGTGCTGTGGCTCAAGTGGGTCTGAGGGCAGTTGGCCTTCTGCCACAAGGTGTTTATTGGTGAATCCTGCTTTACAGGGAGCCCAAAGTGATTGTAAAGTGGCACAGATCAAAGAGCACAGATGCAAGGTGTGGGGGGGGGTTTGTGTCCAACTTTTAGTTAATTCACAGGCCCAGTAAAAGCACCTTTTGGGTCACCTCTCAGACCACATCCTTGAAGAGACCCTCCTGGACACTGCCTCCGAGCCCCACAGTCATCCTGTCACACAAGTGTGCCATGAGGTCCTATAGAGCCCAACAAATGACCACAGGAAAGACACATCCTGCCATCAGCTGCTCCCCAAGCCCTGTGACCCCTCCCTGCCCCTCCCATCTGGAGTAGGAGCCTGCGGTCTTTGCTGACCACAGTTACTGTCAGCAAGGAAGAGGCCATCTTCATAACATGCAGTGCTTGGAAACACTTCAATTTCCCTGCATGTCACGTCCGTTGCAAAATTGCTGCAATGAATAAACAGACTCCCAGATGTCCTCCAGTGGTGCTGCACACTGGACAGGCCACCTTGAGGCCAAGGGAGCTGGCCTGGGGTAAATGGGGGAAGTAAAGGCCCCGTCCTCACTTCCAGCAGCCTCCTCCTCATCCCCTAACCCTGGGGACCTAGATGTCAAGTCCCAAAATCACACACCCTGAGGGGGAAGACATGGGCCTCGTGGACCTCAGGAAGTTGAGCTCACTGACAAAACTGTACAGTTTGTAGGTGAATGCAGACAGTAGGCCCAGAGAACGGCCCTTTGCCAGTCACGCACCAGCAATCGCGCACCCCTCCCTCTTCTTGCCTCTGGTGTCAAAACATAGTTAAGATGTCAGAAATTCTAGAACCATAAATTCAGAGAGGGGAATTTGCTAGCTTCAAAGCTTGATCCTGCCTGGCCATCCCCAAGGGGACCCCTCCCAGCAAAGCCTTGGAACTGTGTAAGTTACAAAAGGAATTCAGGGGCTGGGAAGGTGGCTCAGTGGTAGAGTGCTTGCCTTGCATGCCTGAGGCCCTGGGTTCGATTCCTCAGCACCACATAAGCAAAAAGAAAAAAGCCGGAAGTGGCGCTGTGGCTCTAGTGGTAGAGCGCTAACCTTGAGCTGAAGAGCTGAGGAACAGCACCCAGGCCCAGAGTTCAGGCCCCACTCCAGGACCCAAAAAAAGAAAAAAATGTACAAAAGGAATTCAGATGGGACCTGTTCAAGGAATCCTAGAGGTGGCCCTTTTGCTCCTCTTGGTCAAGAAAACTCAAGGCCAGGGCATGGCTCAGGTGGTACTTTACTACCTGGCCAGCACAAAGCCGCGAGTTCAAAAATCAGAACACGGGAACTAGGTGGGTGCCAGTGGCTCACACCTGTAATCCCAACTACTCAGGAGGCTGAGATCTGAGGACCGCTGTTCGAAGCCAGCCCAGGCAGAAAAGTCCCCATGAGACTTACCTCCAATTAACCACTCCCAAAACAAGAGGTGCTGTGGCTCAAGTAGTAGCACGCTAGCCTTGAGCACAAAGAGGCTCAGGGACAGCACACAGACCCTGAGTAACTGACAAAAACAAATTTAAAAAACACCAAATGGCTGGGAATGTGGCTTAGAGGTAGAGTGCTTGCCTAGAATGTGTGAAGCCCTGGATTGATTCCTCAGTACCACATACACAGAAAAAGCCAGAGGTAGTGCTATGGCTTAAGTGGTAGAGTGCTAGTCTTGAGCAAAAGAAGCTCAAGGACCGTACCCAGGCCCTGAGTTCAAGCACTAGGACTGGAAAACAAACAAACAAACCACCAGAACCACCAAAAAGAAATGAGTAGGGGCAAAGGAAGGAAGGAAAGAGAAGAAAGGAAGGAAGGAGGGAAGGAAAGTAGGTTGGTTCCAGGCCTAGTCAACTTCACTTGATTTGATTTTAAGAGGCAAGTTGGGACCAAAAGCCAGTATCCCAATGAACATGTTAGGCCTCGAAAGAACATAACCCTATCTTCCAAGGCCTACTTCCTGATGATTTGGCAAAACTAGGGAAAGAAACACCCATCCCCTGGTCAGGGTTTACTGAATGTTGGGTTGGATACATTGATTCCTAGAACTCTAGTTGCTATCAGTTAACTGCTCAGAGGGTTGGCTTAGGGGCAAAGGGTCACCAAGCTAAACTCCAGCTAGGCCTGAGTCTGTCATCACTAGATTTAGTGGTTAAACTATTCACTGTGATTCTAGCCACTACGCCTGTAATCCTAGCTACTCAGGAGGCTGAGATCTGAGGATCTGGTTTGAAATCAGCCTCAGCAGGCAAGTCTGTGATATTCTTCTCTCCAATTAAGTCTAGAAGTCTAGAAGTGGGGCTGTGGCTCAAGTGGTAGAGCGATAGCCTTGAGCAAAAAAGCTAAGGGGCAGCTCTCAGGCCTCAAGCTGAGGCACGAGAACCTCAATTTCAAGGCCAGTCTTCACTACATATCTAGATGCTGCTTCCCCACTGGGGAAAAAGAAAGGTAAGAATTGAAGAATATAGAAAGAACGGAGAAACTAGAAACAGTGATTGGCCAGTGCCACAGTAAATATGCAGAGAATGCCAGGAACTCTGATCTTTTGGCCTGTTGCTCACAGAAGCAGTACACCTGGAAAAGTCCCTTCAGGGTCACACAAGAACGCTCTAAAGGCCGCTCAGCAATGGCTTAATTCCTGAGGACTTTGGTCATTGCATCATCTGGGTCATTACACTGCTAAGCAGGAAGTAGCACATACCCTGGAGCCTTGGGGAGATGCAGGCCCTCTAATGGCACAGATTGCTGGCCAATTCCTCTTTCTGAAGCTGTTCCTTCTTACGGAATCTCCACTCCTTCAGTAACTGAACTTTTGATTCAGTAGGCACCATGCAGAATAAAGACTATTTCTAGTCTGTATCACCAGGCACCACCAGCTAACCACAGAACATGGAGGGAGGATGTGTGAATTACTAGAGGCTACCAGAACAAATGCACAATCACACACAGCCGACACTCACTCTCTCACTGTCCTGAAATCTGGGAGTTTGTGTTTAAGGTGTTAGAGATGGCTTCACCCGAGGCCTCTCCCTGACTTCCAAAGGACACTTTCTCCCCGTGTCCTCCCTCATCCAGTTGTCTACGGGATGTGTCTGTCCTAATCATTTTTTCTTTTCTTTTTTTCTTTGTTTGTTTGTTTGTTTTTGTGGATCATGGGGCCTGAACTCTGGGCCTGGGTGCTGTCCCTCAGCTCTTCAGCTCAAGGCTAGCGCTCTACCACTTGAGCCACAGCGCCACTTCTGGTTTTCTGAGTGGTTTATTGGAGATAGGAGTCTCATGGACTTTTCCTGCCCGGGCTGGCTTTGAACCGAGATCCTCAGATCTCAGCCTGCTGAGTGGCTAGGATGACAGGCGTGAGCTAATCACTATTTTTAATGGGCCTCCGACTTGCCAAGGCAGGCACCCTGCTACACTGCTACTGGAGCCATTCCATCAGTCCTTGTTGGCCACACACACACCCCCTCACCGGCCCCCACTTCTACTGTGCCAATACTGAAGCTTGAACTCAGGGCCTGGATGCTGTCCCTTACCTTTTTTTTTTGGTCAATTGTAGGGCTTAAACTCTGGGCCTGGGCGCCGTCCCTCAGCTCTTCAGCTCAAGGCTAGCGCTCTACCACTTGAGCCACAGCGCCACTTCAAGTTTTCTGAGGAATGGAACCCAGGCTTCATGCATGCTAGGCAAGCACTCTACCACCAAGCCACATTCCCAAGCCCCTGTCCCTTAGCTTTTTGCTCAAGGCTAGCACTCTACCACTTGAGCCACAGCTGCACTTCCAGGTTTTTGCTGGTTACTTAGAGATAAGAGTCTCTCAGGGGCTGGGAGGGTAGCTCAGTGGTAGAGTGCTTTGCCTCGCATGCATGAGGCCCTGGGTTTGATTCTCACCACCACATAAGCAGAAAAAGCCGAAAGTGGCACTGTGGCTCAAGTGGTAGAGCGCTAGCCTTGAGCTAAAAAGCTAAGGGACAGTGCCCAGGCC